TCATGCATACGCATCCCAGAGTAAAATTATCATCATTATCATTTGCATTCACATGTCATCTTTAACACAAGCACTTTGCGAACATCAGTTAATTCTCAGAATACTGCTATGAGTCATGGAACTGCCGCAGGACAGACGGGTATAAAAGATATAGCTGTGGATAACAAGAGAATAGAAGGAGAGTTAATATGGCTGCCCCTGTGCCAAGTAGTAGCAGATGTTCAGAGCTCTGCCAGTTGACTTCCCAGCATGGGTGAAATCAGAATGCAGTTTCTAGGTGTAATTTGTTCTAATTTGCAATATTTAAAAGTGAGATGGTAACAAGAAGCATATAAAGCAACCAGTCCTTCTCCAATTATCAACATCCGTGCCAATGTTCTGCCTTGTAAATTGTCTTTAATCAAAGACAAAGAGAGTAAGGAAGGTTTCCACATGTTCAAGCAAGCTCATTTACCCAGAGCTCAAATCAAGCTGCTATGAAGACATGAAGGATACACCTAAAGATAAAATGAACCCCCCACTTTCTGTCTTGTCTGGACGCAATTCATCCTCCTCCCCATTTTATCCCCTATCAAGTCCACATTTCAGGAAATGTCTCCCCAACCCTCCTATTGTCCACCTTCAAAGTCATTCCCCCCCCCAAGACATGAGAAGGGCTGTAGCTAAGTGGTAGAGCTTTTCATGGAAAAGATCTGCAGGCAGGGCTGGGAATGTGTTCACTCTGAAACCCTGGAAAGCCATGGCCAATCAGTGTAGACCGTACTGAGCTACAGTACTGAGCTAGCGACGCAGGTGGCGCTGTGGTCTAAAACACTGAGCATCTTGGGCTCGCTGATCTGAAGGTCGGCGGTTCAAATCCCCACGACAGAGTGAGCTCCCGTTGCTCTGTCCCAGCTCTTGCCAACCTAGCAGTTCGAAAGCATGCCAGTGCAAGTGGATAAATAGGTACTGCTGTGGCAGGAAGGTAAACAGTGTTTCCGTGCACTCTGGTTTCCGTCACAGTGTTCCGTTGCACCAGAAGCGGTTTAGTCATGCTGGCCACAAGACCTGGAAAGCTGTCTGTGGACAAACGCCAGCTCCCTTGGCCTGAAAGCGAGATGAACGCCACAACCCCATAGTCAGCTTTGACTGGACTTAACTGTCCAGGGGTCCTTTACCTTTACCTTTTACTGAGCTAGGTGATCTGATTCAGTATAAGGCAGCTTCCTATGTTCCTAAACTTCCCTTTCCACGCTCTCACTTTTCTAATCTCTAATATTTTGGCTTCATATCTTTCTGTCTTTCACCCACTACTGCTGTCTATCTATCTATCTATCTATCTATCTATCTATCTATCTATCTAATCCATGTTATATATTTAGAATGCTTATATCCCACATCATAACCCTAAGAGACTTTTAAAGCAGATTACAAAAGAAAATAACATCAGTATTAAAACTATAGCAAAGAAATCCCCCTGTAGTGACAGTATCACTCAGGTGGCATTTATTGCCTGTCCTGCTTAGTCTTGCCAGGCAACAGGTCCCACTGAGGTCTTCTGAGGCGAAGCAGTGGGGCTGATTAGCTGTAAGTCTCAGAACTCATGATGGAAGCAAGTCTTCCCTTACTGGCAGCTGGAACTGGGATTTGGAGTAGCATCTGTGATGGAATGGCTTTGTTACCCCAAGCTGGGATTTCATGGCCTCAGGATGCCACCACATAAGACGACAGTGCCAGGTCAGCTGTCCTGCCTGGCTTCCCAACCAATGCTGTCTTCACAACATAGAGAACCCATGTTTGAGACTCCATTACACACTTTTAACTCCATTACACACATGCACCATCATAATCAGACCAAGAGATGTTTTGTGCCTCTTACTTCCCATACCCTGGGTCTGGCACTGACTGATGTGCCTGGTGCTAGGTGATAAGTTTTTGACATGATGTCTCCTTCCTAACCACACTCTTATTTGAAAAAAGACAAATCAGTTGTTGCACTTATTATCTCTCAAGTCCAGAATACAGGGAACAAATGTTCTCGGGATATTTGTGATACATTCACAGAGATGTTTAGTAAGCAATTTTCCTTTGAGGGGGGATTTCCCCCATTGTTGGAAATGTTACATATTTCTGGGATTCTTAGGGTTCCCCTGAGCATTCAGAGACATCCCTTTTGTTTGGGATGCCCCTTTGGCTATGCAATGATTTGCACACAGGACTCTCAAACGCAGCAGTTAATGGGAATGATGGTAGCTGTTATTCCATAAAAGAATTTTCCTCTTCCTTAAAAAAAAAAGTCCAGAAATACTTTACACACTACATTTATTAGGCATATACCTGAAATTTCTCACTGCAAAGTAAAAATCCAATGTGTGGATACCACGAGCATCTAAATCCTAAAAGGATGTGCAAGAGAACGGACCTTGGTTTGCTGCCATTTAATATGTGCAGCCACCTTCAGAATGGAGATGGATCAAGGCCATTGTGTTGTGATCATCTGTGCTCCTGCTTCATGTTCCCAGTTGCTGCTAGGAAGAGAATGGAAACTGCCAATGTGACGGCCTCAGCAGATGTGTATTTCAGAAGATGAGAGGAGGTACAGAAATGCTTCACCTAAGGGAAGCCATGTAAGAGAATCCCCATGGCAACTGAAAGATGTGCTCCAGCTCTAAGATTTCATTTGATAAAACCAACCATAACAAAAACATACAAATGGCCTGAAGGGTTCAGATATCACAGTAACATTTTGATGGGTATTATCACACTGAATGTCGCTTATGTAGATGCATTTACATGGTTGTATAAGCTTCTTGGCAACATTCCATTCCATTCCAAGGGCCTGCCATACTACAGTACACTTCTTCTTTCGTGCAAGCTTTTTCTTTCATGAACTGCCAGCACAGGTCCAGACTGGATCATACACCTCTTAAATCTGTTCTAAGGTTCCCTTAACTCTCCAAAGCAGATTTGGGGACAGGGCAGTGCACACAAAGGAGGAGATTTCCATTGCACAACCATAAATCTTTGCACTAACAAAACAAGTGCACTGAATGCTTCCCTAAGGCTACAATCCCTACCTTGAAGAAAGAAGCATTGAACTAATTTGAGTAGTCTCTATCATTACTGACATTCTGAAGACTTCACTGAAAGTCATTGAGAGTGTTTGTCCTTTTTTACGGATTGATTCTTGGTGCAAAGATAGATCATAAAGCATAAACAAAGCCAAATAAATATGACAAATGCATTTTATGACTCGTAGAAAGAGAATGGCAAAGCATCTGTTGTCCAGAATGAAGCTGGGCACCCACTTTGGCCGCACCAAGTACGTTCATAAATGTTAAAGCTGAAAACCATGGGTTATTGCCGGACAAAACACGTCCCTAATATATTTCAGCTCTAGGCTGATACAGCAGCATATGGAGAAATCCATTTGTCCGGATGCACCTACTGGGCACTGTTCTGGTTGATGTTAACCTTTCTTGACAGAGACATCTGAAAGGGAGATAACAAATCTTAGAGCATCCAATTTCATTTGGACCCTGCTGGTCTCAGAGGTGCACCTGCTGCTTCTTTCCTTCACTCAACTGGATTCAGCAATTCAGGTGTAGTGTGTGTGTGTGTGTGTGTGTGTGTGTGTGTGTGATCATCTTTGTTGAATTCCTACCTTTTCTTCCATATTTGATCCTTCCAGTCTGTGGAATGCCTAGCCACCTAGTGGAGACGCTTTTTTTGCTCCACTTTCATTTGCACTTAGCTTTTAAGGTGAGGATTATACAGAGGATGGAGTGACATTCAAATCAGCCCTGAGATGGTGAGAGAAGGAGAGAGCACACCACCCTGCAGAACACTCCATGTGTGAAACAAAGGCACAGAATGGCAGCTCCCCTACTGCTCTCCCCTTGATGTGCTGGAGCCAGTTATCCGCTTTTTCATCCCTATCCTTCCGTATGCTGAGCTCAACCTGTGCATTCTCCCCATGCAGAGATCTCCCCACTGATCACAGTGGGGGCTCCATACACAGGCTGGCTATTGAATTATTGCTTTGCATTTCATGTTCACTCTGAAGAATTTAAGATCTGAATATGCAAGGTTTAAAAGCAATCAGAATTTTTAAGAGCCCCTCAAAGATATGCCTGCTGGGACCCATGAAATCTAACAGAGCCCAGAATCTTTAGGATTTGAGATACAGCTAGAGATATAATCTGGCTGGCTGGGCTTCTTTTCATTTCTTATTCGATGCACAGCATTAGTTCCCTGCCCAGGAAATTTTAGGCATGCCATCATTTAGCTGTATTCACGCTTGGACATGAACAATAGGATAAAAAGATATCTGACCTACTATAAAGACTGTTGTGAGCATGGCTAAGAGCAGGCATAGGCAAACTCAGCCCTCCAGATGTTTTGAGACTACAACTCCCATCATCCCTAGCTAACAGGGCCAGTGGTCAGGGATGATGGGAGTTGTAGTCCCAAAACATCTGTAGGGCCGAGTTTGCCTATGCCTAAGAGAATGGGTGTTAATTAGATTGTGTTTTTTGAAATGCTGTATATGTGTAGGTGAGGAGGACTGAAAGCAAGTCTGACTCGAACCTTGAAGGGGTCTTGGGCCTCTGTGACCTTCCTCCTCCATCAGTGGTCTCTGACTGGCTTTCCTGAAAGCAGTAGCAAATGGAAATTGGTATCATAAAACCAACTGTCCTTACTTTACAAAAAACAAAACCCAAAACTATTTTTTTGTCCTTTTTGGTCTTAGCTGTGAAGGATTCTCTATCCACTGTACAGGCTGCAAGACCAGGGAGGCTTGACTTTGGGGCTTTTCTTCATCCATTGTGACTTTGTGATTGTAATTGCAGAGCTGGAGATTTGCTGTTGCTTTTAGCCTTGCGAAATAGCAATCCTTCTCACACACCTTATTTAGCAGCTTCTGCAGTGACATTATGGTAGTTGGATAGGTAGAACTGCAAGTCAAAGTCAACCCCAGATTTAGCCCATGGGTTTTTGTTTTTATTTTATTTTATTACTGTGTGTGTGTGTGTGTGTGTGTGTGGGCACACACACACACAGACACACACACGCACACACAGACACACACACACATGTTCACACTGTGCTGGTTGTTCAAAAGGCCAAGTGTTTGGCAGACAGGATAGCTCTACAGCCCTTTCTGAAATGTGATCAGTTCAATCATGTAAATCAGGCATGTCCAATAGGTAGATTGTGATCTACCAGTAGATCACTGGACGTCTGCGGTAGATCACTGTTAGATCATTGGCTCTCCCCAAAGCTGAACAACTGTGGCTTCCCTTAAAAAAGCTCAGAATTTTACCTCCTCCCTGAAAAAGCTCAACAACTTTGACCTGAACCCAAAAAAAGGGGGTACAGTGGTACCTCAGGTTAAGAACTTAATTCGTTCTGGAGGTCCTTTCTTAACCTGAAACTGTTCTTAACCTGAGGTACCACTTTAGCTAATGGGGCCTCACGCTGCACCACGCCGCCACCACATAATTTCTCATCCTGAAGCAAAGTTCTTAACCCGAGGTACTATTTCTGGGTTAGCGGAGTCTGTAACCTGAAGCGTCTGTAACCTGAAGCGTCTGTAACCCGAGGTACCACTGTAGATCACTGCCAGTTTTTAACTCTGTGAGTAGATCACAGTCTCTTGGGAGTTGGCCACCCTTGATGTAAATGAAAATAAGGCCCTGTTTCTTACCCAAAGAGGGCAGAGGGAACTTAACATTATTAGAAAACAATAATTATTCTTCTCTTGCTCTCCCCGACAACGGTTGCAGTTAGAGTGAATAATCCTGGAGCGGCAGCATCAAGACAGGCTTAGTTTCTGCTTGGATTTCTTTGGCAGTCATAAAATATGCAGTCTATGACCATGAAAATAAGAAAGGAATCAAATTCCCCAGTAGGCTACAAAGACTTCAGAAGTGAAACTGCCACAAACCACAATGCTTACACCCATCAAATGTTCTAGTGCTTGAGTCCTGCTACGTGGATGATTTGTCTGGTAGGTTGTATAAACCTATGCAGTCTTTTGCAGTTTATTACATTCTGGGTTTTGTCTCTTGCTGTTAGAGTACTAACCTCTGTGCCTTTCCTGTTTCTGCATTCTTCCTTCTGTAAGAACAGCACACCCTTTTTAAAACAGAGTTTCACGAATGCCCACAATCCAGAGATCTGAAATGACTTCCCCTGCCCAATCTCAACGTTCCCCCGCTCTAAATGCTTCTCTGTGAATGCTGGTGGATATTTTCTGAATATTCTCCACACGTGCAAATATGAGGTGTATATTTGCTTGCAAGCTAGTCCTGAACAATTCTTTTGTGGGTGAATGTTTTGTGGTATGAAGATGATGTTTTGGGGAGTTTGGGGGGGGTTCCATTACCACTTTTGGCAGCTGCTTTGATACAATTTGTTTTAAAAAGAGGGATTTTCTTCTCCCTCGTTATGGCCAATAAGGGATTACGTAGCCAGCATTGTGATAACACTCTCCCCTCATGTGGTTTCCTGCAACTGGAATTCAGAAATTCCATAGGATCCATTTGGGGACAGCAAATTTTTGGCTCACTCAGGGTACCATATTACCAAACTTTGCCCATGCCAGCCGAAGGGTCTGTTCAGCAGCCTCAGCTTTTGTAGCTGGAGTCAGTCAGGGCCCTCCTTCCCAAGCCAGGTGGAGAAAGGTCTGCAAGGTCTTCTAGGACTTACAGCCAAGATTCTATCCACTTCTAACATATGACATCTTACTCACCTTTTCTTTTCCAAAATAAATAAATAAATCCCCAAATGCTGCCACTTTTCCATATAGGGGAATGGCTAGGGTTGGCTTTGTCACCACAAAAGTGAACCAAATGTAAGACGAGGTCTAGAGCTGGCCCTGATCAGCAAATGAACAGAACACATAAGAAATTGGGCTCACATTGATATTAAAGTGTATAAGTTTTATAACATACAATAAAAACAAATGCATCCAAGGGACCATCATTTTGTTCTTCTAAATTGGGGGCCTGGTTTGCAACATTATGAGCCACGAGTCAAGCTGTTGATGATTATGATTATGATGATTTTCCCACATGAATGTGATTGTCTGTGGTTTGCTGATTAAAGCTGTGGTAATGAGATTCTAAATATCATGAACAATGCCATCTTCTTTTTCTGACTGTGTGTAAGTGAAGCTACTGAAAGGATACATAAGAATGTAAAGGTAAAGGTAAAGGTACCCCCTGCCCGTACGGGCCAGTCTTGCCAGACTCTAGGGTTGTGCGCTCACCTCACTCTATAGGCCGGGAGCCAGCGCTGTCCGCAGACACTTCCGGGTCACGTGGCCAGCGTGACAAGCTGCATCTGGCGAGCCAGCGCAGCACACGGAATGCCGTTTACCTTCCTGCTGGTAAGCGGTCCCTATTTATCTACTTGCACCCGGGGGTGCTTTCGAACTGCTAGGTTGGCAGGCGCTAGGACCGAACGACGGGAGCGCACCCTGCCGCAGGGATTTGAACCAGTGCTTTAATAATGTGAGCCCAGTATATTATGTGTTCAGTTTGTTTGTTTGTTTGTTTGTTATAGTTCTTCCCTTTCCTTTCAGCCATCGTAAGCAACCCCAATGAGAGCTAACAACAGTAAAAATTCTAAAATCAATACACACTTCTTTCAAAGTACACAGGTACAATAGCAGCGTCAAAGAAAGAGGTTGTTGCTGTCAGGTAGGAAGAGTGGGGGGAAAGCTCTGTGGGAGAAGCCCATTAGGCCTTCTCATTGTTCCAGTAGATGTCATTTTAAAATGGCGAATTGACCTGATGTCACACAGACACACATTTTGTCCAATCGCCAAGGGAGCACCAGGTTTTTCCCTGAAGCTTGTTTTGTACCACCTAGTCTTGCTTTGCTGCCATACCTCATCAGTTCGCAGGATAAACATGCCTGTCTGAAGTGCCCTTTAGAAATTCTCTCTGCCGCGTGGGATCCAGGAAGCCATATCTTTATGAGAAGATTCTGCACAGGTGAAAAAATATTCAACTGACCCAGCTCCCATAGGGAAGACCCCAAGGGTGAGGGTCTTTCCAACAGTCTCAGCACTCTGGTTTCTGCAGTGATTCCAATTCCATGGGAAAGGCGGACACAACTGGGTCCTCTCCAAATGGCCAGTTCATTTAAACACTCTCCAAGCTGCATGAAGCCCACTCACTGAAAAACAACTCCTGTACATCTGGGACTACACCTAACTGCATTTCAATGGCAACATGTAGTACTTCCTGTGACATACATAGCTCATACGTGTCGGTTGTTAAGCAGTGCGTTTTCTTCAAGTTTATATGTTGCAGGATGGTACTTGTGTTAATATATGTTAGATTATCTGATTTTGGTGAGGCAAATTCTTTGTCAGATATTGTCACTGTGCTGCTCTTTCAGTGAGGACTCATCCAGTGCTCTGGCTCTGGGTGTGCCACCCCACTCAACCATGATAAATGTTGCTGATCTTTTTGCAGTTCTTTTATCTCTGGTTGGACTTCTTTCCGATACTTCACCCAAGGAAGAATATCCAAAGAAATGTTTCAAAGATTGCTTTAGTCAAATCTTAGTAACAAAGTATTAATCTCTACATCACAGGAATAAAATTTAAGGGAACATGGACATTGACAAATATCAAGGGGTTAAACAATTAAGTTCTGACCTAAAGGGAAACGTCACAGGGCATGTCTACCTCCATTCTAGAGCCAGATAGGATAGGGCAGAAGGAAGGTTTTGCTTCTGTTCCAACCCCCCTCTCCCATTCCTCTTCCTCCAGAGTCTGGAAGGGCAGTAACATCATGAACAGGGCTAACTGCTGTGGTCCATTTACTTGTTTTTGTGCATGAGTCATTTTGTCTGAATGGGGCTAATATCAGAATTTCTTTGTGCAACAACATGCTTACATTGTATCTTAGCTCTTGGAAATCTGGAGCATCTTTCTGCATCACGAAGGACTGAATTTTGTCCTTATTTTGGCCTTATTTTGTCCAGAACGCAAATAATAAACAGACCCTGAGCAAGAAGTGGGCAGCAAGTACCTTCATGCCTAATTTACCATGACACTAAGCCTGTTTCCTACCACTCAGCACCTGGTGATTGAGTCTCAAGGGCTACACTTAACTTTCCAGTGTTTGAAGTGTAGGGCTTATCTTGGCTGAATGAGGCGCACGCCAAACTTGCACAGTTATAAAAGGAATATCATGGAAAGAATAGCACTGGAGCTGCAGTTGCCATCACTGACTCACCATTTAGAACCACTTTCTGTTACATTTGTGCCACTATTTATAAATGGACACCATCAGTTGCTATAGTCAGTTTGAGCCAGCTTTAATAAGGGAAGATCAACTTTAACTCCATAAAATCGTATTTTAATGTTGATTGTCTCTGGTAACAGAGGCTGTCGTTTTATGCATTATGCATTGACCTCAATTCTGTCAACTCCCTAACATTCTGCTTTATATCCTAAATGCACTTTGGATTTGCCATTGTATATATTGCTTGCCTTGAGCCTGAGAGGGCACTTTTTATAGCATTTGTGTGTCCCCTCTCCTTTGCTTTTCCATTTTTTTCTTTTCCCTTACTCTTTCTCCGTGTGTGTGTGTGTGTGTGTGTGTGTGTGTGTGTTATTGCCAGAGAAGCTCTATCTCTCTGGCTTTGATTACATAAACGTAATGCACTCAGGTTTGACTTGCATCTGTAAGGCTAGTATGATTTGCGTTTCGGAAGTTTGCAGTCATGACAGCAGCACAAGGGACATATTAGTGCACCTCCTTTGACTGTCAAATGTTTCCGCATAGTTGGCTTAACAAAGCGGCCAGAGTTACAATTTCCAGGAATTCTCTGGGCTAGATTTATGCACACTAGCACAAGGAACTAGCATGAACCATGAATGACTGGATTCAGCAATGCCAGCTGCAAACTAGTAAAGGTTTATACTCCTTGAAGAAGGAGATAAAAGTGGTCCTTTGATGCCAGGAGTGAAGAACTGTCCTGCCCATAGTGGTTCTAACTGTACACATTACTCTATCCAGAAGCCACCTCATCCTTTATATATAATTACTTATCAGCAGGATTTTATGC